ATATGTATCCATGTAGTAATACTGCTTGCAAACCAATGATGGTAAGATGATGTTAGGGGGTAGGACTAGGTAAGTCTAACTTCTTCCTACTCCGTTCAAGCATGTACTAGGTATAAGCAAATTGAAAATATATTTGTGGATATGTCTGGAATTATGTGTGGTTACATATTGATTGTTGTTACATGTTTGAAAGAATAAATAAATCAACTCAAATCAAATCAAATCAGCTCATATGCGTCGTTAGCTATAAAGCAAGTTAAGGCAGCAATATAATCATCACATCCTAATAGGAGGCACTAGCTTAATTTTTCTACTATATGTCCGTTTAAAGCCTTTAGGAAAGAATTTTACATGTCTGGGGAAATAAATATGACATGACAGTGTTGCTGTTTGGACAGTTACCTGCTCACTGGAAAAATATCCATGCACCTGCTCTATGGCTTTAACTCGCTGATCGGTAAGGACGCACTGAAACATAGGATAAAGCACAGTTACTGAAACCTGAAATTTAAACGATTACCGATCTTAAAGATCAAACATCTGAATTGAGATTAGACACACCTTACCTTTCTTATCTCATCCAAGACTATATCAAACGATTTCTTGTCCATGTTTTCTTACTTAGACAACCGCTGACCTCTCTGATAATGAATACAGTTATTATACCACGAACTTGGTAAACTCCCTTCTTGCAGTACAACAGATAAAGTAATTTAGGTCTTAATACTACTATATGTTACTGACCAAGCATTAGTGAGTTAAATTCATAATGGTGTGAAAACATTATTCAAAACCACAAATATTCGCAGTACACGATTAGCACCGTAATAAAGCCGCATTGTCTTTACAGGCCTTTACGATACAACTTTTGCGTCCGTGAACAATGACTTCCACATGAGCTAAGTGTACAGTGCAAAACCTGTCTGCACCAGATTTGCCCGTGGCTAACAACAAGCTAGCTAGCTAGCTAGCTAGCTACAGCTATCTCAACACTGAGCACATTAGAAAATGGGAATAAAATACGTGCTCATCTTTTCATTCAAGCTTAACTTAAATCTTATATAAGAACAATTATAACAGAAAGAGGTAAATGTAAAAATTCATTTAAAAATCTCAAAATAACACGCTCCCAAACATAAGCAGTCTTGCTAGTTTTCACTGACAGCTGGCGCTAACGCATACATGTATTATAAAAGCGCTAACGTCAACACAGGAAAGGACCCCTCTGAGGCAACTTGTCAGACAAAGCACTGTGTAGTAAATTATATAAAAATAGCAAAGTCACAGCAGTTTTGGAAACTATTATCAGTGTAAAAATCCTATGTATACATTTAATTGACTTTGACGTATATTATTCTTATGTTCTATTTTAGTGTTTCTCTGCAGGCAGCGTCAGGCCAATTTTGGACACTGTACAGGAAGTAAACATATCGAGTCTCGGCAGCAAAGTAGAATAAGGCAAAAATTGTTCTTGTGACAGTCGAAATGGACCGCTTTTCGTGGTCAAATGGCCTTTTAGAAATAAATGAAACTTTAGTAATTCAACAGCGAGGAGTCAGACTGTATGATGGCGATGAAAAGGTATAGTTTTGCTTTAACGATAGATGGGTTTGTGGGTTTGTGTGGAAAAAACAGCACACAGCAGCTAAGACGTGCACACAGCAATATTGATAAGATAGATGAACACTAACGTACAGCAATGCACATGAGGTGCCGATGGAGTCCAGGTAGATCACTGCGAGTTTTAGGGGGTTTTGATTGATTGATTTATTCTTTTCTTTCAAGCATGTAAAGACATTTGATATGTCAACACACATAATTTTACACATATCCAACAAATGCTAATCCAATATCAATTTGCTTATACCTAGTACATGCTTGAATGGAGTAGGAAGAAGTCAGACTTATCCAGTCCTACCCCATGACACCATCTTACCATCATTGGTTTGCAAGCAGTATCTCTACATAAATAATTCTCTTCTACACCACACAAGTAATATACAAAAAAAAATTATAACACAGTGTTAACATTCTTACATAATTACCTTCTTAAATAATTATCTTCTACACCACACAAGTAATATACTAAAGAATTATTACATAGTGTTAACATTCATACACCACACCCACAATGTTCCATCTGGTTAATCATTAAGCCTGTTCTTGCATATATCTTGATTGACACATACCTTTATATTTATATTTAAACTCGTCAATTTTATTACTATTTTTTATGTCCACCAGGTAATAAATTGTTCCTGGCTTTATACATAAACACTGCAGTCTTATATCCCACTAAATCAAAACATTTTAACAATTTAGACTGTATGAAAGCTCCATTGGTGTGATCCCTATACCCCATCTTATGCACAATTCTTATCGCTCTTTTTTGTAATATATACAATGGTTGAAGTGAGCTTTTGTATGTATTTCCCCAGTTTTCAACGCCATACTCTAAGTATGGTAAAATCAATGAAGAATACAAAATGCGTAGTGCTTTCCCGTCCAAAATATATCTAACCCTTGCCAACATCGATATATTTTTTGCTATTTTGTTCTGAACATATCTGATATGAGATTTCCAGGAGAATTTGTCATCAACTATGACACCTAGAAATTTAATTTCATATACTCGTTCTATATTAGCTCCCCCAATTTTCAATTGAAGTTCATTATCTAGTCTACGATTCCCAAATACCATAAATTTAGTTTTATCCAAATTCAGAGATACTATATTACTATCACACCATTTCTTTATCTTCTCAATGTTATAATGTAGACACTTAACAAAAATAAATAACATTATATCGTTTGCTGTTATTTTGCCAGGCTAAACTGGATGTTGGAGTTGCCTTGCTGAGCACCCATCGCTTGGTTTGGAGAGATGTTAAAAATCACGTAAGGCCACAATAAACAAACTACATATAATAAAGTCTGTGTGTGAGAGAAATTGTGCTACTGTTCACAGATTGGTCGTTTCAGATTTTGTGTACTCTTATGACAACTTCTCTACTTCTCTTGCTATGAGAAGGAATGCTGCATAGCCATGCCCCTGTCACAGATCGTCTACTTTGAGGAGCAGGCTGCAGGAATAGGAAAGAGGTGAGTATTAGCATATGTACACTGTGGTGTAGACACAGGTTGGGTTACAAATTTAAACCAGTGTTAGGTAACGTAGTATCTGGTATTGTGGTAGGTAGAACTTGAGTTAGGATTTTTATTTTTTATTTTTTGTGAAATCACTATTTCCAAGGTCATGAATGAACTTTCATGTTTAATAACAATAGTAATTTTAATTCACAAGAAGAATATGGTAAACTAACTATTGGTATGGCTTTTACTGCAGTGCAAAAATAGTTATCCACCTGCATCCAGCACCTGCCAACAAGGAGCCAGGTCCCTACCAACAAAGCAAGTATTCCTACATCAAGCTGTCCTTTAAAGAACATGGGCAGATTGAGGTATTCCAACTCAAACAAGCAGAAAAAGTTTTTTGTCCACTCTGTAATAAGCTTTCTTTAGACAGACTCTTTTAAATGTTTATAAATTGGAAATGTCATTGTACCATTTGCAGTTTTACAGGAGGCTAATGGAGGAGATGACTCAAAGGAGATGGGAAAACACTCCAGTTTCACAATCCCTCCCTACAGGAACTGGTTCTCAGGTTAGAAGTTGAACAGGCATTCCGGCCTCTCCACTGGCTTATATTCCTGGAAATGTGTAGATTCTGATGCCAGAAGGTTGTGTCATTTGTTTCCACACCACATGGCTGTTCAGTAGTTGATGTACAGCAACACTCCACATGATGGCAGTGCTGTCACCTTATTGCTGGACGTTACAGCATGAGTAGCCACAACTTCTTCCTCTGACTGTCAGTATGCATTAAACCAGGTTTATTATCCTACAGCAGTTGCAGTCTGCTTTACAGACTCAAGTAAAATGAAGCCTTTGTGTAGGGTGTTACATTTGCATTAAGTGTGTCAAAGTCAGATTACACTAATTATAATTTTTTTGATCAACTCTGTGAACTCATAGTCACTAAAAGCAAGGTTGTGCACTGTAACTACAGTTGACCAAAATTAGTTTCTTCCTCACTGTTTGTCTTTCCCTGTCCTTTGATGCCATTTACCAACCTTTAAATTGCTTGTGTGTTTCACTGCCTGTGCTTTTCTTTCCTTCTCGGACATGTAGGCAGGAAGGATACGTGCAGTGGGGATTGTTGGCATTGAGAGGAAGATAGAGGAGAAGAGAAAAGAAACAGACAAAAACATTTCTGAGGTACTAGAAAGCAGCATTTAGTAATTAACCACTTGCGTTTATTGTAACTGACATGTATTCAAGCTGATCACACACTTGTTTGGATGTTGTTTGTGTGTCTTCAATATATATTGAAAGGTATGACATTGTGGGCTAAAGAGAATTTTCAGTTTTATCAGCATCTAGAGGAGGAGTGGAGATGCTGTGGAATATTATTTAAATTGTGTAGCCATAAAATATTGTAGCTTATTTAATTGTGAACATTTTGATCCCTATTATGAACTTTAAGATTAGCCTTATTTTTTTTTCAGGCTTTTGAGGACCTCAGTAAGCTGATGGTGAAGGTAAAGAATGCTTTTCTGTGTATATTCACATTTTACTGTAGTTGTTGATTTATAACAGAATTATTTACCTTTCTTGAAGCTTTGACATTGTATGATTGCTTAATAGTCATAACCATAGATATCAAACTTGTGTTAAGTTCATAGATATATATTGCTAAGCAGTGGGATTTGCTAAATGATCTCTCATTAACAGGCCAAAGAGATGGTAGAGCTGTCCAGATCTATAGCCAGCAAGATCAAAGAGAAGCAGGGAGACATAACTGAAGATGAGGTATGACCTTGACCAGCATAATCAGGCACAGTGATACATGTAATAATATAAATGCCTGCAGTTTGGTTTTCTAGTCATTTCCATGTTTTTTTAACAGTTACATTCTACTTTATAGACAATTCGGTTCAAGTCCTACCTACTGAGCATGGGGATTGCTAACCCCGTCACCAGGGAAACACATGGATCAGGCACACATTACCATATGCAGCTAGCTAAGCAACTGGGAAACATGCTACAGGCCCCTCTAGAGGTCGGTGTGACTTTTTGTGTCGTGTGTTTTACATCTACACAGGCTAAAATCATGTGCAAATGTAATTGTCTTCTTACTTTTTTCCAGTTCAAATTGTTTCTGAGTCTTATTTCTCTTACTGTCTTCCTACCATTCCCTACTCTCTCAGGAGCGTGGGGGTATGATGGCTCTCACGGAGGTGTACTGTCTCGTCAACCGTGCCAGAGGGATGGAGGTAACACTTGCATAAGCACAAAATTGAAACATTTTATAGATTGTACTTTAAAGGTCATGGCAAGTGCCAATAAATAGTATGACAAAACATTCCTGTCTATACTTTACACACAAATGCCTCTGCTGACCTGTCATATGTTGCTTCTTTTCCCCTTCCCACAGCTTTTATCACCAGAAGATTTGGTAAATGCATGCAAGATGTTTGAGTCATTGAAGCTCCCTTTGACGTGAGTTTGGTTTCTCTTTGTGTTGTATAGTTTAATGTATCTGTGCGTGTTTAGACCAGGCTATGTGCTCATTAAAGGATTATATGACAGGGTATGTGCCTGCTTTACAGAGGCCAGGCCTTTCCTGCCTGGCTTCCTGTTGTTGGAAGTGGTGTCCAGCCCTCTGCAGCTGTCATTTCCTGGCACTTCCTAGGGTTTTAAAAAAAAAAAAGCATTGGCCCGTTTCCCTAAACTGGTCCTAAAGTAGTACCCACCACACTGTTTGCTATCTTTCACTAATTCTCTGTTAGCTTAATAAATGATCACCTCAGCATGAAATTACTGAGCAGATCTCTGTCCCACTCACACTGTTTTCTCTATCCATCTTGTCTTCTGTAGGCTGCGCATCTTTGACAGTGGTGTGATGGTGGTCCAACTGCAGTCTCACAGCGAAGAGGAAATGATAGCCTCAGCGCTGGACAACGTAAGCTTTTACTGTTACAAACATTATACTGACAATGACATGACCAAGCTTTAGACTGAACAAATAGTATGTTACCTGTGAATAAGAATCAAAACTCTTAGGTTTCTCTCTTTGTGATTCATCTCCCTGTACTTCAGGTGACAGAAAAAGGCTCCTTGACAGCAGAGGAATTTGCAAAGCTCCTAGGCCTCTCGGTTCTTCTGTCTAAAGAGCGGTAAGTTGTTTCATAGGCTCAGATTAATTACAGTGAAGCCACTCCAGTACTGCAGATTTTTATGCAGCTTTCCCAGTTACAACTTTCAGGCAGAAAAAGAGTTGTTTGTATGTCTGTTTTGTCAAATGTTTTTATGCCTCCGCGCTGGCGACAGCCGTGACCAAAGGCATTATGTTTTTGGGTTGTTCCTCTGTCCATCCCATTCTTGTGAATGTAATATCTCAGGAAGGCGTTGAGGGAATTTTTTTTATTTTTGCACAAATGTCCACATGGACCCAAGGATGAATAGATTAGATTTTGGTGGTTGAAGATCAGAGGTCAAGGTCACTGTGACCTCATGTCCATCCCATTCTTGTGAATGTGATAATGGAAATTATTTGCTACAATCATATATGTCTATATAGTGATATCTTCCATTTTGCCATGAAATACACTTAAAACCCCAAATCATAAAATTGATGGAAGCAACTAGTCTAGTTTCTTCCTAATTTCTTTGTGTCCTCCTCTCTGTTCCTTCTTCATGTCCAGGTTGCTGCTGGCTGAGAAGATGGGCCACCTGTGTAGAGATGACTCTGTTGAGGGTTTGAGATTCTACCCAAACCTCTTTTGAGCTATTTATAGTCATTATCATTGAGATTAAAAGTTTTTAATAACTTAAAATAGGCTGCACTGTCTGCTGACAGACTGATGCATTAAAACTGTCTTCTGGCCTTTACATGTACATACCAGTATATAGCAGTAAAGGCTTGCTGTACTTTGAGCACAGTAATGTACCTGTCCAGCCTGGTTCTAATTATTAAACAGTTGGTATTCATTCAGTGATAGAGCTCTACAAATCCATTATAGATACTACCACTTATTCTGGGTCTGAGAGCAAGGCTCTGTCTTTAAAGATTAACAACTGCTCAATGCACTGCAAATACTGTGTATGCAGCAAAGTCTTTCTAGTGTATGTTTAGAAATAAATGGGTTTGGGGAAATTGACTCAGGTGGATATATGGTGTAAATTCTTTGCACCACTCTGATAACACATTTTTGTGTCAAACAACTTGTATATTTTCATAAGAAGTGTGTTCTGGTGTGAAAACCCCATAGCCACTGATAGGTAGATCACATCTTTTCCAAAGTAAACTGTACATTTATGTAATAAATATTAAAGGAATGAAGCCTGCCCTGGTAAATGGTCTTATACTTGCCTAGCGCTTTTCTATGTTTTGCAGCACACTCAACGCGCTTTCACACTACTTGGCCATTCACACATCACCGGGAGCAACTGGGGGTTCAGTGTCTTGCTCAAGGACACTTCGACACATTGACTGGATATTCATGAAAAGACCAAGATACAAATAAAATCCCCGATCTGCTGTCAGTTTGGTTCACAGCGTATAAAGTATAGGATACATTGCCAGACGGCATTCTTCAGGTTATTAATCCCTTCAACACAAAGGTTGGGTTTCAGGAATTTCAGTTGTAATGGTTATGAAACAAGACTGGACGTTTTTTTAATCGGTACAGTGAAGCTTGCAGAACAAGTGTGTTTAAATCCATTTTCCAATATCTAGTCACAGTATGTTATATATAGTCTAACTGCATTCATTCATATGTGAAATATGAGTGTAATGTATTAACTACAACCTGGTCTAAGAAGCATCATGTCTGAGTTTTGTACCTGTACTTGCTGGGAGTGCTGCCTCTGCGCTTTTATTTTTAACCTCTGTGCATCCCTGTAGGGCTTTTTATACACTGAAGAGAAAAGCTCTTTGTTCCCATTGTGAACTGTGGAGAGCAGTTAACGGAGTTTCATGTCCAGGGAAGCTTCCTGTTTTCTGCCAGCTCTGTGTGGAGGAAAAATGAAGGTCTGAAGAGCTGATTCGATTACTCTGCCATGTGGTTCATTTACTGATATAAATGAGAACTCAAATGGTTCAAGGAATCATAAGAGCTGAACTCTAATCATAATGACTATGGATTTATACACAACATTGAACTTAGTGAAGATTTTTATATACAAAATGAGTCTTGTTCTTACATGTTAGGTTGGCCTGATTTACTCAGTGGTGCATTTTAAGTTAATCCATGTTCTGAATGGCTGATTGTCATCTATTCAAATCTCAGTAATGTTTGTTTTCATTAGGGGATTACAGAAGAATGACTTGTCAGTCATCTTGTGAGTGGGGGAGGTAACTTGATGGTGTGAGATGAATAGTTTCTCATTGCATAAAATGTTTTATTTTGTTAGTGTGCCCCCTTACACAGTGCTAAACGTATTAACTATAGGTTCTTTTTAAACCTAATCTTTTAACATTCCTTACATAAATATGATTTATGTGTGACTGCCTTTAAGCAGCACGTTATAGATAAATCTGCTGAATCTCGTATTTCTTTATGAAGTCACTTTTCACAGGCATCTGTGCCAAAGTCTTTTGAACAACCAGGTGCCTGTTTAAACTGCTTATCTGAATGACTGACTTAGCATGCAGTGTTCAAACTGCCAGTAGAAGAAAGACATATTGTACTGTATTTTCTATAATACCTGGTACATGTAGCTTAACTTTTATCTTACAGAAATGAGCCTGCTTGTAAAGGCACTACATGGCTACCTCCCTCCCTTTGTAGGCTATGTGAGAACCAGTATAATATCCCCTCCCTCCATTTTTTAATATTAATTTATATGTTTTATTCTATTCTCTCTCTCACTATATACAGTGAGGAACAGAAGTATTTGAACACCCTATGATTTTGCAAGTTCTCCCACTTAGAAATCATGGAGGGGTCTGAAATTCACATTGTAGGTCCATTCCCACTCTGAGAGACAGAATTAAAAAGAAAATTTCAGGAAATCACATTGTATGATTTTTAAAGAATTTATATGTCTTGCACTGCTGAACATAAGTATTTGAACACCTGAGAAAATCAGTGTTAATATTTGGTACAGAAACCTTTGTTTGCAATTACAGAGGTCAAACGTTTCCTGTAGTTCTTGACCAGGTTTGCACACACTGCAACAGGGATTTTGGCCCACTCCTCCACACAGATCTCCTCTAGATCTGTCAGGTTTCGGGGCTGTCGCTGAGCAACGCGGAGTTTAAGCTCCCTCCAAAGATGTTCTATTGGATTGAGGTCTGGAGACTGGCTAGGCCACTCCA